TGAAGGTGAACTATTATGCGAAACCTTTATCTATCTTTTTCTTTCAAATTGGCCTTATTCTCCAGGTTTTAATTGACAATTAAAATATCGAAGGCTGATATCAACTCCTATTTAAATTAAATATTGTTAATGTCTGGTAATTAAAGTTTGCCTCTTTTTAGTAAAACTAATTGGAGCTGGATTAATGAAATATTAACGTACAACGAGCAGAACAGTTATGCTATAAACTAGGTTTTCCTTTAATTGTTTTTCGCGTTTGACGACATGTTTTCTTATTAAAATCAAGCTAATTACTTTTTGAATTATATGGTGTGTAAATTTAACGCGGATTTATACCCGGGTCGGCGTAATTTACAAAGAAGAGGGTCTAAGTTATGCAATTCCTTCGAGGCTAACATATTAAGAGGACCTTCGTCCTAATTCCTTCAATTAATGGCGAATAACTCCAACTCGACTTGTCAAACTGTAGAAATTCGAGTGTTAAAGAAACGACAGATGAATTTTTTTAAAATGAGATAGTTTAGAACAGTTAGTTTAGATGACTACGAAGTTCCTGTTTCGTGGATTTTCAACCATCCCACTGTTCAGATTCGACTCTGACGAAGCCAAACAAGTATCACACATTGATTTAGATCGCCCGTTTGGAAACGGTTTAAATGCGGTCAGTTTTATTTTAGGAATGAAACGTACCAGAACACTTCTCCGGATAGGCGAAACTTACGAAACACGTAACCAGAATCGCGCTGGAGCCTGTCCTTCTCTCTCACTCTCTCTTTCTCTCTCTCTCTCTCTCTCTCTCTCACTCTCTCTCCTTCTCTCTCTTTTTTCTTAATGGACATCAGTTGATTTTGACCTTAAATATTGCAGGCTTAATTGACGGTTGTTCGTACGTACAATCATTCATTTTAGCATACATTAATTTATTTATTTCATTTAAAAAAAAGTGTATAATAAATTGAATATATATATTCTATATATAATACATATACATACATATATAATATATACATACATATTGGTATAATTGGTACATCCATTTTACGTTTACACATTTTTCCTTATTTTTTTCATGTTGCCACTTTCTATACTCTTCTTTATATTAAGCTAAATCTCTCTCTCTCTCCCCCTATCTCTCTCTCTCTCTCTCTCTCTCTCTCTCTCTATCTATCTATCTATCTCTCTCTCTCTCTCTCTCTCTCTCTCTCTTGTTTCTATCTTTTTTTCTCTCCCTCATCTTTCTCTTATTCTCTTTATCTATCATACTTTTTACCCCTTCCTTCCTCTCTTTCTTTTTTTCTCCTTCTTACTCACATTTCCCTTCTCCGTATCTTGTTTCTATCTACTTTTTTCTCCCTGTCTCATCTCTCTCTTATTCTCTCCATCTATCTTACCTTCTTCTCCTCCTTCCCTCTCTTTCTATTTTCTCTCTCTCTCTCTCTCTCTCTCTCTCTCTCTCTCTCTCTCCCTCCTTCTTACTCACATTTTCCTTCTCGGTATCTTGTTCCTATCCACTTTTTTCTCCCGTCTCTTTTCTATCTTATTCTCTCCATCCTTTTCTCTTTCACTCACTCGCTCTCTCTCTCTCTCTCACTCTCTCTCTCTCTCTCTCTCTCTCTCTCTTTCTCTCAGTCCACATTTGTTATCTGCTTGTGAGTTTGTCCCGAGGAGACGGTTCGCTTTCTTGAATGTCCGATTGTTTATTTTATTTATCAACGAACTTTATCACTTTTCTGGATCCGTATATTGTCGCTGGTTTACGCGGTTTACTTCTTCTACTTGTTCGGAGTCTGAAAGACTTAAATATGTACCACATAGGTTCTTCTTTAAAATAAACTGTTATAAAATATTAATGACTGACGACCACTGTTTTAACCATTGCGTTAACCATAACGTTGAGGAAGGATTAAAATAAATCCTAAACGTTGTGGATAAAAGCTGGTTGTGGTTTTTTTGAGATGTCCTATTATCCCACGTTCAAGAAGGAAAAATCGTAAGTTTAGAAAAACATTTTCTTTATCGTGCCAACGTTTCGATCTTTATTGTGATCATCTTCAGGACCTGGGATTTATAAACGTTGTTTAAATTGTACAAATACATGTAGGATGTGGAAAAATGTATTTGTTAAATGTAAACCATGTTTAAAAATCCTAGGCCCTGAAGATGATCTCAATAAAGATCGAAACGTTGGCACAATAAAGAACATGTTTTTTCTAAAACCTTCGTCACGCCAGACCGCATCACACGATCTACGAATAATCGTCGACTAACCACTAATCCACACACACACACACACACACACACACACACACACACACACACACACACACACACACACACACACACACACACACACACACACACACACACAGTAATAAAAATGAAATAAACAGAAAATAATTGGTACGCCCATTTTAACGTTTACCCATTCGCTCTTATTTTTGTCATGTTTTGTTTATGTCTGTCATGTCACTTTCTGTATTCTTCTTTATGTTTTGTTAAATCTCTATCTTTCTCTTCCTCTCACTCTCTCTCTCTCTCTCTCTCTCTCTCTCTCTCTCTCTCTCTCTCTCTCTCTCTTTCTCCCCCTCCCCCTCCCCCTTGTCTCTCTCTCTCTCTCTCTCTCTCTCCCACTCTCTCTCTCACCAACAATTTATGTTCACTTGTTAAACATGTTAAATTTTTTTTCTTTATGGACATCAGTATATTTGGGCCCTAAGTATTGCAGGCTTAATTGACAGTTGTTCATTAATCAACCTGGGCAGATTTTAATCATATTTGAAAGACAATTTTTCATCTGCTTCAATATGTAAATTTTCATTTTCAAGATTCTTGATTTTAGATTATCAGCTTTGTAAACTTGATATGCTCATTATGGTACAAATGAGCCAATAGAAAATGAAACATTGGAAAGGAAATGATGGTTTTTATCGTCTCGGAAAGAGTCGTCGGTATCTGATTGATTGTCTGTTTTAATTTCAAAACATGTCCTCCCTTGCGAGAGAGGCGTCACCGATAGCCACAGGTCGGGGACATTGTTAGGCGGCCCATTGCGTATTCAGCAGCACGCCTTCTATACACAGTCAATGGAACAGTCAAATCTCCCTGCCAAATTGGTACTTGGCCAACATTTGAGTATTCGTATTGGATAATTGTCTGAACGATCGGTTCGTCAACTATTTGTTCTGACCCGGAGGGGGGTCAATCAACCCGTTAGCATGATTTTATTGATATCTTTACGATGGGGGGGCTTTTAACACTTCTCGGGGCTCGAAGTGGCAACGGGCGCCCAATTACCTTGGCACCGTCGAGAACCATACCGGTCAATAGGTTTATGCCCATTTAAATTTCCCGAGTCACTTTAACTTGAGTGCTTACCGTGATTCAAGCAAGATTATCGCCTCTGAGGAACCTGAAGTAACACGCGCATATTTCCCTTGAAATTTCCAAGTAAATATTATTCAAATAATATAACAAAAACAATGTTATAACGGTTTAATGATAAGGATCATAAACGTTTAACAAAAACTTATTTAAATTTATTTACTTTTTATTAACCGCATGTAATGTTTTGTGTTCGAATCTCGGCATTACCCTCGAAATCATTAGTAAATACTATTGTAAAAAAGGAATTGAACATTGGTCTTAATCTCTTGACTATGGTACCCTCGGGTACGACTTTCGGCTTAATACGCCGCTGCTCTACCACTTGAGCTATCGTGTCCTCGATCCACTCGGACATCAACTCCCCATCTCAACCCCACTTTATGAGTTTTCCCTCCTTTTTGCCATTTCATCCCGCTCGTGCCATTAACTTTTTTTCATAACTAAAAACCATAAATAATTGTAATGTATTAATTGGCCAAGCGGACCACGAAATTAATGAATTAAATGAAGTACACTTCACTAAAGCTCTCCGTGGCCATTTCAATTGTCGTCGAGAATCCAATCCGATTACACGACATTTGACAAATGGCAAAAAGGAGGGAAAATTTAAAAGGTTGGGTTGAGATGGGAAGTTGGTCTCCGAGAGGATCGAAGTCACGATAGCTGAAGTGGTAGAGCAGCGGCGTATCTAGCCGAAGATCGTGGGTTCGAATCCCGCTCGTGTCATTAACTTTTTTTCATCTCAACTAAAAACCTTAATTAATTGTAATGTATTAATTGGCCAAGCGGGCCACGAAATTAGTGAATTTAACGTGTAATTTAGATATAAAATAAAATCTTTTAGACAGTTGCTTAACGCCACCACGTTGGTACTAATACTTGGGACGATATCGGAAAACTCCGAACTATTCGATTTGTTAGTCAATTTAAAAAAATACTTTATTTAGATTTTATACAATACAGAAATATAAAAAAGTACAATACGACTTGAATAGCAATACGTTTGTAATGAAAATTACCTCTTAATACTGCTTATTAGTATTCATTTTATATATAAACATACATTACAAATAATTAAGGTTTTTAGTTGAGATAAAAAAGTCAGTGTCACGAGCGGGATTCGAACCCACGATCTTGGGCTTGATACGCCGCTGCTCTACCACTTGAGCTATCCTGACCTCGATCCACTCGGACACCAACTTCCCATCTCAACCCCACCTTTTGAGTTTTCCCTCCTTTTTGCCATTTTTCAAATGTCGTGTAATCGGATTGGATTCTCGACGACTAATGAAATGGCCACGGAGAGCTTTAGTTAAGTATACTTCATTTTAAATCATTAAATTCACTAATTTCGTGGTCCGCTTGACCAATTAATATCTTTCAATTAATTAAGGTTTTTAGTTGAGTCCGAGTGGATCGAGGTCACGATAGCTCAAGTGGTAGAGCAGCGGCGTATCGAGCCGAAGATCATGGGTTCAAATCCCGCTCGTGCCATTGATTTTTTATCTCAACTAAAAACCTTAATTAATTGTAATGTATTAATTGGTCAAGCGGACCACGAAATTAGTGAATAATCATACATTATACATTTTCATTTTTTTTGTTTGTTTATTTATTTGAAAAGTTCTCACCAATTGAACTCCTGAATCAGTTGGTACCTATTTGCAAGGCTTTACTATTTCCTTTATCCTTATTTTTTTCCAGGTCTGGACGTATTCAACTTGGGAACGGCTAGGAATACTCAGACGCAGAAGGCGATATTCTGACAAAATCGATCACACAGCCACAAAGTGAAAAACGTCTTCCTTTAGTTTTGAGTTGCATAAGGAGCATTAATTAGCATTAGATTTACAGGGTACAAAATCGAGGTATACTTGCTCGCAACGCATTTTTAAGAACCATCGCATCTCGCAGAGACTTAAAAGGTTTGTTTGCTCACTTAATGGATTGAAGAGACAAGATGAATGGTCCAAATCTCTTATAAAGGAGGAAACGAGTGGATAATGAGGCTTTCCATAGGATTTCTCTAATTCTGGTTAGAAGGATTTCAGATAATCCTGGCCAGTCATTTATTTTTCGTTCGTAAACGTTAAAGGACAACCGTATTCATGTGCCAACTTGTTCCATTTGGAAAACCAATAACAATTCGTGTTCATCAGGCAGTAGCTGTAATTTTGGGTAGAGGCGAAGATTCCATGGGCATCTGTTTGTAAACAAATGATAAGTTGAGTTTCAAGGTAAAAATAAATAACAGGTCAAACCTAGTCTCTAACAACAATATATGTGAAGGTGTAGGGTCCGGAAGAGAGCAGAGCTTTGAATCTTTTCTATCACCTCGTATCTTTGGAACCCCACATCTGACAAGCAGATAAGATGGACCGACAGACGCTGTTACAAACTTTGAACTTTGCTGAAAGCTGTACAGTCCTGGGTGAACATATCATTCCAAACTCTATTTACTGCAAGCTTAGCAAGTCAATTTAAACTGATGCCAAATTGTCTGTCTGTTTAGACGCTGTGATGAACCTGTAGTTACGCGTTTCCAATAATTTTGGTCGACCTTGGTAAGATTTACAGGCCTGAAACGTGTATGGCCAAGGTACACCATATTGATCTGAAAAAGCCCAAATACTGCACGCTGCTTAATTGTTAATTTTTTCTTTGAACACGGATAGTAGGCCATGGATCAAAACAAGCAACGACCTGAAGGAACAAAGTATGCAGTGTAGAACAGCTCCAACACAAAAACCATATACGACACAACACACGTCCAGTTGTGAAGTTGCGTTATGTTCATTATATTCTTGCTAGACTGGACCTACTGAAGTAGTTATTACTCAAAGTAGCCGAGGAAAGCACAGTTAAAATACCCAGTTTATTAAACAAACGACTTTACGTTTCGAAACTTCGGAACCAACTGATTTAGTTAAGCTTAATAATTAAGCACTACTGCATCACAAAACATTAATCCCCAGTCCTCTACTTGAGACGCCCTTTAGTTGCATTTAACTAACTTTATCTCTTAAACACTACACCTTCCTTAAATATGTCTTTCGACACTCGTAGTATTGATAATACTTTTTATCTGAGCCCTTTTTCCTTTCCAACGTATCTGAGATGCTACACCTCCTTTAAGAATGGCACCATCTTTTGGTACACAGATGTATCTAGCACACAAAAAGGTACAGGGGCAGGAGTATTCGGTCCTGGAACCAAATCATTACCCATGGGAAAATACACCATTATATTCCAAGCGGAGATTCACGCAATCGAAAGATGTACTCAACTCAACTTCACTAACGAGTACAAATCGAGAACATAGATATCATGTGAGATAGCCATCCATAGCAGCCATCAAAGCACTAAGCTCAAATATCATTAGTTCAAAGATGGTGTTGAACTGCAAGACCAAATTAAACATATTAGGTACGAAGGACAAAATCAGCCTCTGCTGGATACCAGGACACAACGAGAGAGGGGGCCTGCTTGCAAGGAAAGGAGCTGCTACACCGCTGATAGGACCCCGAACCCTTCTGTGGCATAGGAACCCCACTATCAATGAGTATCTCAGACAGAAGGACAAAAAGAAAATGAAGGAACAATGGAATTCACCCATTGGGCACAAACAATCCATAAACCTCTTAACAAACTTTGGAAGGAACGAGATAATTAAAGGAAACAGGAAAAAACTGGGAATCCTAACAGGATTCTTAACAGGACACTGCGAACTAAATGGACATCAGAAGAAGGTTGGCATAACCCAACACGCCACTTGGAGATTTTGCAAAGAGGCAGAGGAGACACCAACATATCTATTAACAAACTGCGGTGCTACACTTGTCCGAAGGAGGAAGTGCTTTGGGATGTACAATGTGACCTTAGAAGAGATTCAACCATTGAAACTGGATCTATTGATCAACTTCCTTGATGAAATAGGACTCGCCGGTGTGCTTTAGGCAGAGAACGGGGGATACAATAACTCTTAAAGGGCGCAGTATATTACACTTATTATATCTACATCTACACCTGTGATGCTAAATTGTTCATGCCAAGGATCCCTTTTCTAATTTGATTAACTATTAGCTAGTCTTATATTTAACGATTGATCAAAGGTTTTCGAGGACCTGTCGAATATTTATAAACAAATTAGCTTACTAGACGTTTTACTTTTCAGACCTGTCCATAGTGTCGGATCATCGGGCATGCTTAAGGATGTGACGCGTTCTCGTTTCTGCATGTGGTCGCCTCAGGGCAAAACACGGGAAAAGAAGCTGCTTCCAAAAAGCTGTCAGCACGTAGGCGAACCCGATTTCAGAGCGAGGCTGTTTGCCCTGAATGGACGTGGAAATCTTGCACAACAGCTCCGTCGTGGGCTTGGAATCTCCGGTCGATTCGCCTTTTCACGACTGTCTTTATTCGAAGAGGATCTTTACGGGAACGGAAAATTTTTTGACACCTAGACCAAATTGGACGCGAGTGTTTTACGACACTCTTAGCGCACCTGCCGGCCGGTTCGAATATTTTTCAAAGCCCTTCATACCAATTCACACTTTTAAATCCTATGGATAAGAACAAAAACAGTTATAATTGGACGTTGTAACACGACTAAGGTCATTTCACGCCTTCACATATCAATTACACGATCATTAACATTTTTATAACCACAGTCAGCTATGAAATTCTGACTCAGAGTAAAAAAAAAAAAAGATTAAACTCTTAACAATTGATCTCTGAGACCGCACAATGCAACTTAACGTTGCAAATAATTTATAAAGTCTGAACTTGAATTACTTTTCTTTTTTAAATTACTGAGAAATTTAAAAGTACCAATAAGTCTTATTCAGATATTTTGAATTCCTTAGGAGAGTTAGAAAAAAATCGAATTCTATCATGCAATTATTATTGCTATATAATTGCCTGGTAGGCACGAATGTTATGCTAATAAGAAATGTAAAATGCTTTTGCTTGTTTCCATTTATTATTTGTCGTAACTTTTACATGCTATCTTTTTTTCTGTTCGGTTTTCCATTCAAACTATTTTGCTGAGTCCTTCTTCTTCTCATACCTATGGTTAGAAATATAATTAATTTTTTTGCACGTTTTCATGTGACGTGTCATCTCTAATTTGTCCTATTTTTTTAAAAATTTTAAACTGTTTTTCTGAGTTCTTTTGATAACCTTTGCTGCCACTTACTTTGTTCCATTATTTGTTTAGGTGCTACAACCATTATATTTTTGTGCGCGTTCATACTGAATCTCCATGAACTTTTTTATCTGATTATCCAACCTTGTAAAGAACATTGCTTAGTACCTTCCAATATATCATTTTGTTTTAAGGACATACCTTAACGACGTGTTAGTACTATTGGCTATTGAGCACTGTACCCAGGAGATCAACAAATTGGGATTTACGAAAAAAGCAGCCATCTGCTCGGACTGACCGACCACACTAAAGGCAACTGTCTCGTTGGTAGTAAAGCCCAGAGCGTTTGGGATTGCATCAAGTCTCTGTCAGATAATAGACCCACCCTGGGAGTCGTAGCCCACTATGTGTTGAACTACGGCGACGACGGGTGGTATAGTGTGGTTTGAGGCTCGAGACCCCGAAACGGCTCACCTCGAGTTCTCATCCACGGCCCTTTTCTCAATCCGGGTTCCTTCATTCTATCATGTGACCCCTCCCAACTCTTGGTTGCAAGGGGGGTGTCCGGGCGCAAAATCATGATGCAGCCCTGAGGGCGTGGCAACCTCTCTAAAGCAAAAGCTGTACTCGTGTCGGCCTCGGGTCGGCATGGGCGGCGGGTGCCTTATCAGAGGCACACGAGGGTTAGGGTACCAGATCCTGTCTGCATGGACGGGGGAGGGTTGTATGGCCATCTGTACCACGGGGTGACAAAACTGTTCCAAATCCGGCCCGAGTCACATTGGGAACGGATTCGTGGTGGCTTGTGGTGACGCCCCTGGCGGGAACTTAGACAGAGGCTGTCTTCTATTTGTGACCTTCCTGAAGCTTGCGAATGACCAGCGTTATTACTCCCGGCTTCAAGGGAGACGTTGCGACCGGACGACAGCGTGTAAGCGTTGAGGACGCGATGATTATGCTGAATAGTTCCTCGAATGCGTGAGTAAGCGGACGAAAACGGGTAGTGAATCGGTTGCTCTGACTCGAGTATGCTTTGCATTGTTGTGCGTATGACCGGCGTGGTACCCTTGGGGAAGGAAGGATCGGGCCACCTAGGCTAAGCCTATGGCGTCCCTCGAATGCGCATGGCAGGTGTAGGCTGAGCTCGATAAGAGATTTTACCGTAGGCCGTGCTCATCTAGGGTGTGATTAGCAATTCCATTTTAAATAAAACCGAGGCCGGGGCGTTCCCGGAAGTTTCTACGCTGGGGCAGCCCCAATACTCTGGGAGATAGAGACGCCTTCTCTATCTAGGGAGTACGCGGGAGAACAGGCTGATGTATTTCGGCTTGTTAGCCCTTTGCGTGCGGCATACGACCCGATGCACAATGCGCGCCCTACCATTCGGAGTGGACAAGCGGAGAGCGAGGTTGTCTTGGCCCTTAGGGGCTCTACACCAATGCTGCGGCGGTAACACCATTCCGTCATATGCAGAGGTGCGTCAGCTCTCATCTTGAGAATCAAAACGTCCGATAAGGCCGAATAGGCGGACGTTAAAGATCCTCTTGTCTTATGACGAAGAATTCTCGGGAACCTCATGCCAAATAATGGGACAGCAACAAAATTACCCTTGTTCGGGTACCAGAGTACCCAGTGCAAAGAAACAAGAGGAGTCCGATAAATTGATCAGGGGAAGTTCGATGAGGACATCTAATAGCCCTCTTGCAGCATACCAAATTCCCGAAAACATACATTGGACAATAGGACAATAAGTCCTTGGTTCAACGGGATTGTATCCCAGATCAGAAGCATGACAAATGATCATTAAAAGACCATAGCAGAAACTAACAGCAGAACTAACCTGACCTAATGATAGTAGGACTGCTGATTCGTACTGCAGACTCTAAAGACTCGGAGTAGCTGAGGCCTGTGTAGATATTGAGAGGAGAAAAAGAAACAGCGGATGTCTTCTGTATATGCGAAGGCATAAAGACTGAAATTCTTATTCCTAAGAAAGGAAAAGGAATATGAAGCATACTTTGGGATCCGGCAAAAAAAGTTAAGCAGTAGACAATAATGGAGATAGCAGAATAGACCAATATTGGTCACAAGAGAGTGACACCTGTTAACATTTAACCCTTTGGGACATATTTAATTCCTACTCACGTTTTTTTATTTCGTCTCTATATTATACTTTTTCCTACGTTTAATCCTTCCAAACAATTTTACCAGTCTTGGGTTTTTGATGTTCGTTCCGAATTTTTTTCCACATCTTATATTGACTAATTAATTTTAATGTTTTATTTAGATCAAAAATATAGGCTTTTTACTTTTTAAAAAAAGAATATTTATATAAAAAAAAGAGATGTTCACATTCATACGATCAATAGAAAGGGATAACCGTGGATGGGGGATCGATGAAAGACGAGGCCGACGTTGTTGCGCGATCGGCAAGGTCGCCTACTGGTTTCTCATAATCGGCGCCAACTGCGATTTCTGCAGGTGATAATCCGATAATCCGACTAAAATCTCTTTCCGGACCACTAAAGGGCAAGACGGGCCCGACTCCGCGGCATTCCCTTTCTACGCGTCAAAGGTCCAGACTGCCGAGAAAACGCCATGTGTCGCCCGTTGTGCAACGCGCGCTACAATGAATGTCAAACCTGCCGAAGTGGCGAGGGGAAAGCTACAAGTTTCACCGAGACCGTAAAAAGCGGCTCATTCTCCTCCTGGCCGGTTTAAAAATAACAACCTACAAAAATAGATCTGTGCCCAATTTATAATCCTTCACAAAAAGAACGCCTCCGTGGCCGTTTCGGTATCCACGCTACAATCGGATGGCATACGTGAAGTACATAATCACTCTCTATTCAAAATAATTTTCAAAGAAACTAACAAATATTGAGATACTCATCATCTAGCTTAGAGAAACGTACGATAAAGGACGGTAAAAAATAAAAGTAATAGTTTGGTCATGTCGATCAACCAGGTCCAACTATTCTTGCTGTCTTTGTCTACTATGCATTATGCCATTAACTGTTTGTTAAATTGCCTCTGATAGATAAACACAGCAACATTATGCTGGATCTGGTTGATAGAAAACGATCAGGTTATGATCGACTCAGTACGACAGGCAAATTTTTTAAGTTACAAGCTATAATTTTGTTATACTTGAGATACGCTTGTAGATCATCTCCGATCTTCGTTTTTCGTAGGATTTATCTGTCAAACTAACATTCGTTCTCTTAAATTGGATTGTTTGATTAACACAATAAAAAACATAATAAACGACATAATTACAGTTCTTAATCTTGATTGTAATTGACTATTTCTACATGGCAACATATTTTACTAACAAGAGATCACAGCATCTAATGAAATATTTCTTGGCACTATTAGGGCAAAAAGATACAAAAACTGGTCTGAGTTATCTTGCCAATGGTCCAATCTTGCAGAATCATTTTAAGTAATTTAAATATATTTTTAAACTATTATTTTATTATTTTTTGCTGTTATATATCAACCTTCTTCTCTCCCCCCTTTATCCTTTCTATTTTTTGCTATTTACTTGTCTATGCAATTATCTGTCTATTTGTCTGTTTTTCTTTTACTTCGTTATATGTCTGAATGTCTAACACTTTTTCTCGCTATTTATTTCTATATATATATTTCTCATTCACGTACTCTTCATTTATTTCTGTCTCTATCACTCTTTGGTTTTCCACATTTTTCCATCTAATTTAAGTAATTTTTTCAAATAGGTTTTTCTTCCTTTTTGTGCATGTATTTTAGGGTTATTGTATATCTGTCAGTCTGTCTGACCGTCTATCTCTATTCCTAGTTCTCTCCCTTTCTCTCTGTCTGTCTGTCTGTCTGTCTCTCTCTCTCTCTCTCTCTCTCTCTCTCTCTCTCTCTCTCTCTCTCTCTCTCTCTCTCTCTCTTTCTTTCTTTCTTTAAAAGTGGTCAGTATTTGCTTAAATTTTGCGACATTAAATAAAACCTCATTATATTCTTTTTCTCTCTCCCTCACTCTTTCGCTCATCTATCTTATTTCTCCAATCTTCTTTGCTGTGACAGTTTCTCTCCATCTTTATATATGCATGTATTTTATTCACCAACTCTCCCTTAACTTCTGTCATATCACTCTTCAATTCTTCATTTTTTTATATAATTATGTCATTTTTATACTTTTTGTCTTATCTCTCGTCTTTCTCTTGATCTCTCTCTTTTTCTCATTTTCTCCCTTTTTCTTATTTTCTCTCTCCTCTCTCTTTTCTCATTGTCTCTCTCTCTCACTCTTTCGCTCATCTATCTTTTTTCTACTATCTTCTTTGCTGTAACAGTTTCTCTCTCCATTTTTATATATGCATGTATTTTGTTCACCAACTCTCCCTTAACTTCTGTCGTATCACTCTTCGATTCTTCATTTTTTTAATATAATTATGTAATTTTTCAAAATATGTTTTTCTTCCCTTTTTATACTTTTTGTCTTATCTCTCTTCTCTTTCTCTTGATCTCTCTCTTTTTCTTATTTTCTCTCCTCCCTCTGTTCTCATTCTCTCTCTCTCTCTCTCTCTCTCTCTCTCTCTCTCTCTCTCTCTCTCTCTCTCTCACACACACACACACACACACACACACTCAGAGGTTTTTATTATTTACGGATCTGACTCTGTTTTATTTACAGGGAGCTTCTTTTTACGCGATAAAGCATTTTAGTTTTTATAATAATTCAGTCATTAAAACATCAAATTTTGTGGTACGTTTTGGAAAATGTTGCAAGAATGTTTGTAAAAAAAGTCTTGAAACCTTTTTGGCCGTAGTGCTCAATCGTAAATGATTTGTATATTTTAGTCAGACGTTCAGCACAATTAATATTTAATAGCGAATTTATGCTATAGTTAATGAGAACAGTTGATTTAATAATGAAATATATGCTCATGTCTCATTTAAAACTAATTTGTTATTGGTTTACCTTCAGTTTTTTTCTCTGATGTACTTCGTTTTGAAATACTCACTGTAACGTGGCTTTCATAATACAATAATAAATTGTTGTCGTGTATAAATCTTCTTGTAGTGTTGGCTCTGACAGTCGGTCCAAGGACTGCCATGTATCGTAGATAGAAATTTGTTTATTCTTGTTGTACTTTAAATTATTTACTTATTAAAAACATTATTGTTGTTGGTTGCAAGAGTTATATAATAATTGTAAATTCTTCTTTTTTTTCTAGCTGTAGTTGTTAGCTGTTTCGAAATCACAAATCAAATTTGGGCGAATCGTCCCTCTTTCGGGACACCCGATCCGTCTCGTAAATCCCGCTAACGCGGCTGGTAAAGGCAAGGTCTCCGAATCTTGAAAACATCGCCTGGGGTCAAAGGACATAAAGCAGCCGTACAGGAGGCGGAGGGTGTTGGCATGTCTGAATTCTTGCCACCTCGGCTGGAAATGGCCCGTATTAGTCTTCGTCGAAGAAAGCTCAGGTGAGGTCAAAGTTCAACGGATTTTTTTCCTGATCCTTGGTGACACCTTCCTTCCATGACGGCGGTCTCAGACGTCGACAAATTTCAAGGATCCATCAACAGTTTATCGCGTACGCATTCCTTTACCTAGGTGGCGTCAATTAGCCAAACGCTCGAAACAGTACTGCCTTCGAAAGTATTCGTGAAAGGAGAAACTTTTTATTTTGCCATAGACATTTAATGTTGGGTGAGGTTTTTATTTTGGTAACAATAATTGGTTTTTACAGAGACTGGTTTCAATTTTATATTGTCTAAGTATGAATGCTAAAACATATTATGAAACATTGTGGTGAGGCATTCTAGATGATGAATGAAACCGGCACCACGCCACTGAACTCACCACTGAAGGTGTTGAGAAGTGTGAAAGGCTCCTGGGAGATCAAACAGCGACGATTCGTGGACCAGAAAGGCCAAACTATAGGTTCATCAAACCCCCGGGCCTGGAATAAATCTCACGATTTAAAAAAGGTTACTACTTAAAAAAAGTGTCAATATTTCCATGAGAATTTGACACTTTAACCTCCGCACCACTAATTCGTATTTTATTTTTATAATGATATTAAGTGACAGGCAAGCAGAATGTGATGGACAAAAGGAGAAAGAGATTGGGATGGTCAAAAGAAAAACAAAGTTACACAAAAAGAAAGTAAAAGATAGGAGAAATTGTTTACGTAAAAATAAATTAATCTGCTCTTTAAAGAAATAAGGGGAATACAAAAGGAAAGAGAGTAAGAGAGGTAGAGAAAATGTTGTTAAGAGACAGGAAACAGAGGAACAGAGTATTCTGGAAAAAAGTAACAAAAAAATTAACCAGAATGAAAACTAAAGGAAGGGTGAGGATGAGAAACAGGAAGAAAGAAAGTGAGAGGTATGGAAAGATAGAGAAAAATAGAAACTGAAAAAATGAAAGAATGCGAGGTTCCAAGGCAGAAAGAGAGAGAGAGAGAGAGAGAGAGAGAGAGAGAGAGAGGGAGGGAGAGAGCAGGAAAAGAAAGTGATATATAATGGGAAAAATAGGTAGGGAGAGACAGACAAAAACATGAGCTTCAAAAAAAAGAAATAAAATCGAAATAAAGTGTTTACGTAAACATAAATTAATGTCTTTTTGATAGCGAGAAAGAAATCGAAAGAGAGAGGGAGAGAATGATACTAGTACAAAATGATAGAGAAGTTGGTTAAGAGAGGCAAACAAAAAAAGAAACAGAAAAATGAATGAATGAGAACGTTTTTGTGTGAGAGAGAGAGCAAGCGAGAAAGAGGCTAAATTGCTTGATTGATTGATGAATTTATTTAGTTACGCAAAGTTAGGTCTCTTGGACCTTACACTTAACGTGATTTTTAAAGTTTATAGAGGCAGAGAAACAGAGATATTATGATACAGAGATACATACAAAGAAAATTATGATATGAGGCCGAATGACGTATAATATACATGCAGACAGAAAGAGTGTGGGGGAATCAGAGAAAAAACTCAAATAAAAGAAGAGGAATTGTGAGATAGAAGAAATTATATAGATAGAAAATAGAAAAAAATGGATAAATTAGAAAAATGGTAAAAAAGAGTTAAGAGCGTTGGTAGGTTCGTAATGCATTACTATTGGGTTGTCCGGAAAATAATGCAGGATTTTGGTATTAAACAAAAAAAAAGAAACTAGTTACTTTAAAGCAATGTTCTTTAATCAAAATAATTTCCCATACTCTCAATACATTTCTCCCAACGTGTTGGTAACTTATTAATTCCGTCTGAGTAGAATTCAGAATTTTTAGAATTGATAAAGTCAATAAATGCATTTTCCAGTTCCGTTTGATTTTTGAATATTATGTGTTCTAAGTAGTGGTCCAGGTGTCTAAAAAAATGGTAGTCAGTAGGCGAGAGGTCCGGAGAGTAGGGTGGGTGAGGCAAAGTTTCATAGCCAAGCTCCAATAATTTTTGTGACGTTACACGTGACACATGTGGTCGAGCGTTGTCATGCAACAAAATGGGCCCTTTCCGATTGACCAAAGAGGGCTTCATTACTGCCAATTTCTGATGCATGGTATTAATTTGGTTACAGTATGATTCAGCATTGATGGTTTCGCCAGGATTTAAGAAGCTGTAGTGTATTAAACCAAATGAAGCCCACCATACCGTAACCATTACCTTTTTTTGATGAGTTGGGGGCTTTGGAAAATGTATTGGAGCTTCTCCTTTGTCGAGCCACTGTCCAGAACGTCTAGTGTTATCGTAGAGAATCCACTTTTCGTCACATGTATCAATTCTGGCCAGAAATGGGTCATTTTTGTTTCGACAAAGAAGTGATGCACAAACATCAAAGCGCTGATTTTTTTGGCGATCGTTTAATGAGTGTGGAACCCAATTTTCGAGTTTTTTCACTTTTCCAATCGCCTTGAGGTGGTCAGCGACGGTCGTTTTACTGACTTTGAGTTGCTCTGCACCCACCACTGATCGCAGAACATCATCATTAAGAGAGGAAGGCCTTCCACGACCTTCTTCATCTTCAAGGCTGAAATCTCCCTCCCGAAATTTTTTAAACCACCTTTGCACAGTGCACTCATTAACACAACCCTCGCCCCAGACTTGGTTAATGTTTCTAGCCGTTTGGGCTCCGCTTCGGCCGAGTTTAAACTCGTAAAAGAAAATCGTACGAAATTCTCGCTTTGACATTATAAGGATGACTGAATTATTTCCAAGTAGCGGAATGCTACAGAGGTAAACAAACAATATCATTTGGAAGAGGATTAATAAGTGTAATCCTGTAAACGTAAACAGAATATTTTATATAGATTTTTTTTAATGAAAACTTAAAATCCTGCATTATTTTCCGGACAACCCAATACTTCCAGTAACTGGACAAACTTCTAAAGGATCTCCAAACGTGACATCCGCCCAACAGAAAGAGATTTTGCTGGTAGGATTCTGAATTGCTGACGCAAATTTCATTAGAAAATAGTTTTATAGTTGGGTTTTAAATAAACAGTGTGGAAATATTAAAGATTTTGGGTAATCGTCCAATGTGGAAATGTTATCATGTTAAAAAACAAAACAATAAGCGTTTGTTTAAAATACTTACTCGGAGCCAGCCCATATAAGACGGCTAACTATAAAACAAGAAAGATTACAATTTGCCCAACGTTTACGACCGTTCTGACGTTTCGTCATTTCTTTTATAACCATCGGCATGCTATTTAGAAAACTAAATTAATAATAAACAAACCCTTTGTGGTACGAGTGCCGGCGGATTGTTAAAAGTCAGTGGAGAGGGCGAGGCATTTGTTCGGACAGGGTTTTCGACCCTCGGGGGTCGCTTCGTCTGACCCAGTAGCCTGTTTGACCTAGGGGTGGTATTAGCTGAATTAGCAGCACGATGGAAACAAAAGACCGTTCGCAAAGTTCATCGTTCCGGTCCCACCAAGGCTGCACCCATGGAAATAAGAGACGATAACTGAGACGGAAACGACGCCCTGGTGGAATAAACACGCGAGTTTAATGTAGCATGTATATAATTATGTAACACAAGGTGAACAGCGCCCGCACCCCGGTTGCAAATAAATCTGCTCACAATTATGACGGAGAGTGGGACCGACAGGATATCCCCTATCTACACAAGCAAGACCGATGGCGCCATTATGCTCCATCGCCGTCCTTCTTTATATAACGACGATCACACTTGCTGATGTCTTGCTGATGCGATGTCTTGAAAAATGTGAGACCAAAAAAATTAGAGGCCGTGAAAGAATCATAAATAATTTCAAAGAGATAAGGATCACTATATAAAAACGCCTTGGCAAGGCTGTATGAAAACAACTCAAACACAAAATATGGCATAACGAAAAATGAACACGCATTGAGAATTAAAACATCACTTTCTCTATTCAACTGGTTTTCAAATAAAAACCAATGTTAAATATTTAGATTTGTTTTAGGGTCTTCTTCTTTTTTTCTTTCATTTCTTGACTTTTTCTCTCCCCTTCCTTGTTTATTTATTTTCTCATTCTTTTTTTCAGGCTGATATTAATTTTTTTGCGTAAATACTTTCTCCTGTAAAGATAGATAGACAGAGGAAGAGAGGGTGAGAAAGAGAGGGAGGGGAGCGAGAGAGAATGAATAAATGAATGGATGTTTTATTTACCCACGTACAATTAAGTCTCATGGACCATGGACCAATACAATAATACCACTTAACGTGAATGAATAGAAAAAAATTTTTTTTTGTTATTGTAATACTTTTTATTAAAAAATAGATAGACAGAGATGGATAGATAGATAGATAGATAGATAGATAGAGAGAGAGAGAGTGAGATATGGATAGATAAATAGAGAGAGAGAGAGAGAGAGAGAGAGAGAGAGAGAGAGAGAGAGAAAGGGAGATAGAGATGGATAGATAGACAGAGAAAGAAAGAGAGAGGGATGGATAGATAGATAGATAGAGATAGAAAGATAGATAGACAGTGAGAAAGAGACGGAGAGAGAGTGATGGATGGATGGCTAGAGAGAGATGGATAGAAAGATGGAGAGAGAGATGGATAGATCGAGAGAAAGATGGATAGATAGACAGAGAAAGAGAGAGAGAGAGAGAGGGATGGATAGATAGAAAGATAGATAGACAGTGAGAGAGAGAGTGATGGATGGATGGATAGAGAGAGAGAGAGATGGATAGATAGATAGAGAAAGAGACAGAGAGATGTATAGATAGATACATAGAGATAGTTAGATAGATAGATGAATAGATAGAGAGAAAGAGAAAAAGAGAAAGATGGATAGAGAGAGAGATGGATAGAGAGAGTGAAAGAGAGATTTATCGAAATATAAAGAAAAGTATAGAAAGTGACAACATGAAAGAAATAAGGGAGAATGTGTAAACGTAAAAATGGATGTACCAATTATTTACTGTGTATTACTATTAAATTAATGATTGCATGTTTCAAAGAAAGAAAAGGGGAAGTGAGAAGAAGATAATAAA